AATCTTGGTTTTCATTACTACCCTATTTTTCATTCAAACTGCTTAATAGGCTTAATAGGCTTATCGCTAACGTTAACAATCTTATTTGTGCGTATGTTGGATTTTGTGTTTTATTTGTTATTTTTGTTCAAAAGCTTTCACTTAAACGTCTCGCTAACGAAACCGTCAAAAACATCTAATTTATGCTTGAATTTGCACATTTTGCTAGTGATGTTTTGGCAGCAGCGCAATATCGCTGCTGCCTATCTAATGAATAAATTAATGTCTTGCAGAATTCTTTCGTATAATATGATTGCTGAATTGCAAAATTTAAAATTTATGCTGAGTGGATATAATTGCCCAACATAGATAAGTAATTACACCTATTTTATATCCTTTACAAACTTTGGCAACACCATTTAATAATAAATATTCAAATTTAGATGATATTTTTGACCTGTATGTCCCTAGGAAGACATGTTTTTAATTCGGGTATTCTATATTCTTCCATTAAAGTAAGATATAGTATTCTGATTATGTCTTGTATTTCGTTCATGACTAGGCAATCGTTTTTTTATTATTTCAAATGAAATAATATGCTCTTGTTTTGCTTATTTATTATGGCTTGACTCAATAAATATTGTGTTACAAAAATACACTTCCATGATAAAAACTAATGTTATTTTAAGGTCAATTCTTCATTTTGCTTAGCACCTATCCAAAAAATAAATTTTGTTCTTATTTGATATGTATTTTACAGATCTTTCTAATTACAAAAATAAGGCATTCTAACGGAACACATAACATCTTGCCATTTATGCCTATCCATACAAATTTATGGTTAATAAAATGTGGCTAATTTTCCTTTTTTTTATTGCACATACAGAGCTGGTCAATATATGGCTGCTTATTCATGCGTCTTAAGAGCTGAATCTGCGGGCCTTTCCGGTGCCTCAATTGAACGAGCTAAGCTACTTTGGCGCACCGGTAAGCAAGAAGCTGCTTTGGCATGTCTGGAGAAAGCAATACCCCACTTGATGATGCTCTCGCCCACGTCGAATACAGCCTGTTCCGAAAACTCTGTGGCGGAACTAGATGGTGACATTGGTACAAAAGGACAATGCCGAATTCGTTTTGAGCGTAGAATCTGCACTCATCAGGTATCCTAACAACTCGTGTCTTTCTTTCTTGCTTTTATGCTTATTCCAAGACTACATCATAGGCCTTGGCGAGTTTTCATATCTGCGAAATATGTCTACTGGTGGTACCTAAGATTATGGATGATATGAATATTTTAGCTAAAATCCAAACTTTGTTTCCTTGTTTCCAAATAAATTGTCATCAGGCTTAAACTTTAATTATTGATAAGCTTCGTAAGGCCTACGTATATCATTAGTGAAAAATGCAACTCCCACTCCATTACTTTATGAGATTGACAGCCTTGAATCCTATTTATTATGAAGGTAGGTGAATGCTTGGACAACTTTGCAGAAGACATGAAAGAGCCTTTGCAATATAGATTGCAATAGGCTTGAGCACATTTGAATAATCCAACAATTTTATGACTATCTTTCGAGATACTATTGAATTTCACTTAGCATTTCCTACAAATTCTTTTCTCATTTAGGCTTGACTGGACTGAAATTTTGACCTTGCTTTGTTCTCATCATCATTCACACAAGATTTCAAAATTTGGTAATGTACATAGAGCGAAACCTACTTACTATGGATATAGCTAACTTATAATTTAGGGACTAAAAGTGTCTTCTGAATTTAGC